CATAAATAAAAATAATAATGTTGAATAAAGAAAGAAAGAAAGAAAGAAATATATAAATAAATAAATAGGATTATGTGTAGGTGTCTGGGTTATTACTGGTATGTGTGCTGGGACATTGTATCCCTCTCAGACCAGGTCAGTCTTCCATTTGAAAACACATTTTTGTGAGGATTTTACTTAAATATTTTAAAGAAAAGCACCCAAAAAGGAGTTTGCAGTTTCCAAAGACACTGAAGCTTTGGAAAGTCACCAAACTTTGGCGGCCATTTTCTCTAATTTTACCTCTGACGCCAGGCGACCTCCACTTCTTTCAATCACTAATATCACGACTTCTGTTCGAGATAAACGTATATTTTAACACGAGCAGGACAAATGAACATGCTTTAAGATTAAACTAATAACTCGGAGAGCCCCCCCCCCTCCCTCCTCCTAAAAAAATGGACGAGTGCTTGATCCCACTGTGTCGTATTACAATAATATATACAAGCAACATTTCCTGTCAGTTGATTGATACAATATACTCCTCTTGGCTCTCTTATACAAGTTGGCCATTAAAAAAAATTTAACAGCCTTCAAAGAGTAAATACCAAGCTCTATGTGTTTTCCATCGATACAATTATTATCACCCAAGCAGACCTAGTGGCTTTCTGAAAGAATCTCAACTTCCTGGGAAGCATACAATGCAAGCTGTTATTTATAGGCTCTAAAACACTCATATACTGAAAATGAACACTGCCTTACAGTCGACAGTCGGCAACATTCTCGTGCATCTGCGGTTGTGACTGTCTTAATAGTCTTTCACATCTAATGGTGTTTAGATCTATTTCGCTTATCTTAGCCCAAGTCGAGCTCTTGGGAACTTGAATACTGTAATGTAGCTAGGATTTCACAAATACAGAGAAAAAATTCTTATATCTGGTCGGATGCCATTTTTTGCTGACCTATTAAGACAAAGACAAGTTTTAATTAATACATGTTCAGGGCTAAGATTTGATGAATTGTGTCAGAAGTCGGTTTGGAGGCCCATAGAAATCGAACTGTTTTTGGCCGTTATGAGATTTTGTTTGTCTTTTATTGTTTTAAATTTAGTTGCGTGATTTCTAGATTGAGAGGGGGGGGGGGGGTTGACAAAGGCCTGCACAGTTTGGCTCACAGACTCACCCTCTGGAGTCAGCCTGACCTCAGAAGTCCGGGCGTAGCAATTTGTCGAGTGTGTGGCCGTGCACGTACAAAGCACGCTGGCCCCGCCCTCATGTAAGGTGATGACGTGAGAGGCGGAGTCACCCACACTCGTCGTCCGACCCGAGCTCCCACAGGCCAAGGTCACATCATCCACAGGAGGGAAGCCGCCTTGTACGTGACACTTCACTTCGACAGGGGAGTCTGGTTTGACCGTTATTTCTCCTCCACTCTTCCCGCCCACTGTGATCGCTGGCTGGCCAGGAGGGGGCACTGCGGAGGTCCAGAAATGATGGGAGGAGATTAGTCGAGATGTTTTGTTTCTTTTGTTTTAGTAGACGTTTTACGGTGCTCGCAACTGCATAAGGTCATAAGAGCGTCAAGGAGTGTATGTCAACAAAGAAGTCCTTACAGGGAATCAGGCTTACTCTTCTCATCTCTCTCTCGTTTCAACAGCACAAAGTCTGCTTCGACTATCAAGGCAACCCGGAAACTGCAGGTCACAAGAGAGTGACAAAACATACAAAAGAAGTAGAGGAAAATGACTATAGTAAGGATTAGGAAAGAAAAAGCAGCAGTTACCTGTGGAAGTTCAGGCACAGTTATGAGCATGACATTGATTAATCAGCCCATTTAAAATTCTACAAGTACTGTGCATGAGAACATCTTAATTCCCCCCCCCCCCCCCTTTGGGATTGGCCTAAATACACTTCAGTCAGTAGCACCGCCCTAGGGGTGATTAGTCGAGATGAAAAGGGGTGAGATGACAAAGAGGTCATGTATTTAAATAATGTAAAACAATATGATAATAAAATGTTTGTGGCAGTGATATCGCGTGTCCCAGACATGGACGCCTTTTGCCCCCAACAGCAAGGCCGGCGTGCTCCCTTGTCCATAAAAAGTCTCTTTTTTAAAGTGTTATACGGCACTTGCAATTGCATAAGGTCATATGAGCGCCCAAGACACATTCAACATTTTCAGGTGGTAGGAAATTTTCAATTTGTGCCCAGGGGGTGGGGGGCCGAATCCTACTCTTATCGATTTTGGACCACCAAAAGGATCTTTAACGTGTGCATTTTGCACACGGGACCTCCGAGATTTTTCGCCCTTTTACGAGAAAGCTTGGTGCCCAGTGACATGCCCGTAAGCTCTTCAAATGTTGCGCTTTGTTGACCCCCGGTTTTGAGTTTGATCAAACTGTATCTCCCTCCCACCCCCGACCACTCGAGAATTTATGGTTCAGTCCTCATCAACGACACCCTGTATTGTTATGATTTTAGCATGGTACCGTGCTTGCTATGAAAAGTACGCGGTGTTGAGTTTAATGAGCAGTTAATTACTGAAGGTTATATAGACAGCACCTCTTTATATTTGTCGGATATGCACGAAAATCGAGATTGTGTAGGTCTTTTAGAAATCACAGGCGCATGCAAAAGTATCAGAGCAATTCGCCACTTAAATTCGGTGTATTGATGTCGGCAAGTTGTCCATTTGGTGTTAGTCAGACTATAGTACTAATATACAACCTCTCTGGGAAGGCCTGAAAACATTAGATTCGGTGGAGGAGGTGAGATGGATTTATATTGAGCGAGATGGAAACAGCGATTAATAACGAAGCTATAATAATATTGGTTTAAATTAACGCCAATTGTGGCACTGTTAGGTTATGATTATTTAATAGGCAGTACTTCCAAATGTAACGTCCGTCTCCGATAGGACTTAGCCAAATTGGAAAATTCTTGTAAAGTGCTTTTGCCAAGGACACAACGTCGGACTGAGCTGATCTCACGGTTACGAGAGTCTGTGTTCATTTTCTTCCGTCTACGTTAAAAAATTCTACATCATTTATTTATTAACCTATGCCTTCCAAACTTTGCTTGACTTTTCTGCAAGCGAGGGACCAAACATACTTTTTTAAATCTTTATCCTGTAAAGCACACGTTTTTCTATTTGGGCCCAATATTAATATCGTTCTTCGGGTGCTTACACAGGATCACGAAAATAAATGACTTACAGTAAACTGGCCTCTCTTTTGTGATCTCTCTCTCTCTCTCTCTCTCTCTCTCTCTCTCTCTCTCTCTCTCTCTCTCTCTCTCTCTCTCTCTCTCTCTCTCTCTCTCTCTCTCTCTCAGAGTCAGTACTGGCGTTTGTGGTGTAGCGATTAGGTACTTAGCCGTCGCTTGCAGAAGAACTGCGTTCGATTCCCACGTGGGGAGAACAAGGCGC